TCTAAATTTCCTACACGACATAGTTTTGGGATTTTAATTAACACCTTAAATTTAAACTAAGAATACATTAGACTAACCTAATGCTATTGGAAAAACTAAACCCATTGATGCGCCATTTCTCTTCTTCCTCCTCCTATCTTCTTCTTCAACGCACGGTTGAAGCCTTGCTCAAGCTAATCTTCATCGTCGTTCGGGTAACCCACAGCTATATACCGCTGACCAATGCTCCTATGGTGGCTCTTAACCATTCGACCAGCACTAAAACGAGCAGTGAACACAATCCAAAGATCTAAGAATCAAAATGTTTCTATCTTCTTCGATTAAGAGTCACGAACGCTCGACAACAACACAATCGACCCCTAATTTCTAATCGGATGATCTCGACTCCAACAAGAACCCTAACCTACTAAGGTAACCCGAAACCTCTTCTTATTTATTAATGAACTTATTTCTAATTAACACAACCCCTTTGTTTTGATAGCATAAATTTGAACTATTATGGAGTAAAACAAGACAACTAATGTAAGTGTTTATACTATCTCCATTATGCCTTTGATTTGGTTTCAATTCAACACATACACATAATAAAATTATGAAAACAGAAGAGAATGAAAACTAAAAAAAACAAAAAACAAAATAGATACCCTTTTGGTTTCAGAATACCCTTATTACAAGAACCGAATTTCCTTCCCCTCCTCTATTTTTCAATCTGCTTTTTTTAGTGCCCCTTTCAAACCCCCGAATACCTTCTCCTTTAAGATGTCTTCGTTTTATCTTTATATGCGTGATTATTGGATGCTGAATAATTGATTCGGTAGGTAGAAATCTCAAAATTTTCAATGTTAGGTAATGTGGTGGGATCTAATTTTGACTTTGGTGAGGATTTTGCAGGTGAGTGGAGATGGCAATAGCACATGGGAGCTAGTAGAGGCATGGGACACAAGAATGGTGGGGTGGGTGGAATATAAAAAAAATGATGCTGACAGCTGCCCCTCTTTGCTTATTGTTGTGAAACGAGAATGAAGCAAAGATAATAAAGCATCATTTTTATCTTGGTCTCTTCTTATCATGCTGCGAACTCTTCACTAGGAAATGTTGAGCCAAGGTTGAACAAATTCTTCTCATTATGAACTCTCCATTAAAAATGTCAATCCCTCAAGCGAGGCGTCACTGATTCGAAATGTCGTGAATCGAGTGATAGGTCAAACAAGCTTTTCTCATTATGAACTTCTTCTTCCTCTGTCGGATGAGTTCTTCTCATTATGAACTCTCCATTGAAAATGTTGATCCACCTCTTTCTGTGATGGAATCGAAAGGAACACGTTCTTCTCATTATGAACTTTCTCATTATGAACTTTCTCCTTCTGTCGAATGAGTTCTTCTCATTATGAACTCTCAATTGGAAATGTCAATCCCTCAAGTGAACTGTCAACATCATTTTTTTTATATTCCACCCACCCCACCATTCTCGTGTCCCATGCCTCTACTAGCTCCCATGTGCTATTTCCATCTCCACTCACCTGCAAAATCCTCACCAAAGTCAAAATTAGATCCCACCACATTACCTAACATTGAAAATTTTGAGATTTCTACCTACCGAATCAATTATTCAGCATCCAATAATCACGCATGTAAAGACAAAACGAAGATAGCTTAAAGGAGAAGGCATTCGGGGGTTTGAAAGAGGGCACTGAAAAAAATAACAGATTGAAAAATAGAGGAGGGGAAGGAAATTCAGTTCTTGTAATAAGGGTATTCTGAAACCCACATAAACAGAGTGTAACGGGGTCTTCCCGATCTTTCAAAAGGAATACACAAAATCAAAAGGGTATCTATTTTGTTTTTTTAGTTTCCATTCTCTTATGTTTTCATAATTTTATTATGTGTGTGTATGTGTTGAATTGAAACCAAATCAAAGGCATAATGGAGATAGTATAAACACTTACCTTAGTTGTCTTGTTTTGCTCCATAATAGTTCAAATTTACGCTATCAAAACAAAGGGGTTGTGTTAATTAGAAATAAGTTCATTAATAAATAAGGAGAGGTTTCGGGTTACCTTAGTAGGTTGGGGTTCTTGTTGGAGTCGAGATCATCCGATTAGAAATTAGGGGTCGATTGTGTTGTTGTCGAGCGTTCGTGACTCTTAATCGAAGAAGATAGAAACATTTTGATTCTTAGATCTTTGGATTGTGTTCACTGCTCGTTTTAGTACTGGCCGAATGGTTAAGAGCCACCATAGGAGCATTGGTCAGCGGTATATAGCTGTGGGTTGCCCGAACGACGATGAAGAGTAGCTTGAGCGAGGCTTCAACCGTGCGTTGAAGAAGAAGATAGGAGGAGGAAGAAGAGAAATGGCGCAACAATGGGTTTAGTTTTTCCAATAGCATTAGGTTAGTCTAATGTATTCCTAGGTTAAATTTAAGGTGTTAATTAAAATCCCAAAACTATGTCGTGTAGGAAATTTAGAGTTACCATATGTGCTAGGTTAATTAACGGTAAGGGCCACTGTTATTTCTGCCTTATTCCATTTTGGTCCTCTTTTAGGATGTTTGAATTGATATTTTTACCTCCCTATTTCCGCATTTTATATTTCCATCCTCAAGGAATGTTATTTCCAATTTCCACTTGTTTTAGTATTTGATTTGTAATTTTATTTAATTACAATTTACTCATATAAGTAGTTGTAGATTTATTTAATCTTTAATACATGAAATGTGATTATTTGTGTTCTATAACTTATTTTTTTAGTTTATGATCGTAGCCTTAGAGTTATGTGTTTATTCATATTAGTCATTATGTCATTTTTTTATACATTTTCATGATAATATATAAATAATATCATTAATGTACAGAGTTTGGTGTTTCGATTAAATATGTTTCACATAAATATTATTAAATTATATTTATACTAAGAATATTTTTCATAATTAGTATTAATTAATTTGTTACGAACATATAGTTATACGTTTTGCTTTCATTTAATTTTTTTAAGTAAATTAATATCAGGAACATTATTAGAATATAAATTTTTCGTTAAACCCGAAACTTTATTAGTGTTAACCTTCTTAATGTTATTTTTTCTGTATTTACAGTTACTTTGACATGTTTGTATCATTTTTATTAATTCGCATAGTGTTGTATTTTGTATATTATCTTCATGTGCATAAGTCGACATTATTACATGTTATGTTAATATTTGACTTTATACATAATATTTATAAATATTACATATTAGTCATTGATTTAATATATTTGTGTATTTTTGATATTATTCAAATTTGACTATGATGTTTGTAAATATATCGTTTTAGTCCTTGTTTTAATTTGGTTTAATTGTGATTTAGTCTTCAAGTTTTTGATTTGTTACACTTTAGTTCTAAATTTCATTTTTGGATTATTTTCATTTTAGTACTTGTTTTAATTTGGTTTAATTGTGTTATTTAATGTTTGTAATTTTTTATTTTGGTTTATTAACCCTTTAAGTTTTTGTTCTAATTATTTTGGTTCTTCTAAGTTTAACTACTTATTTTATTTTATTTATTTTCTTTAAGTCATTAATCTGAAGTAAATTAATTAAATTTCAATAAACGGATCATATTTTAACTTGATATTTGATTCAGGATTTCCACCATTACGACAACAAGTAAACGACACAATACCAATTTTGGGCGCTGTGGGGTGCTGATCCTTCCCCACGCGTAACCGACTCCCGAACCCGTTTTAATCAAATCTTTGGTAAACGCAGACGAACTTTTGTCTTGAAAAAATGATTATTCTTAAAATTGTTTTTAAAAGAATGTGTTAGGTATTCGACCTACCTAACCCAAAGGTTGATGGCGACTCTATCCAAATTATTCCAAATCAATTCAAATCACTTCATTTTCCAAAATTAAAAGTCGTAACTATTGTTTTTAAACAATTAAACTATTGTCCCCGCCGAAAAACAGTTACGACAATTATTTTCCAGAAAGGGAAAGTGGATTCTGCACTGCTGTTCTTTCTTGCTAGATTCAGAACTGTTTCTTGGTTTGGGGCGAGATTCAAGGATATTAATATTCCTTTTGATTCTCCAGTTGGGGATTTAAAATTGGCAGACTCGATTGGAAGACAGAACCATAGAAGCGTTCTTACTTCTCGGTGGGTACCTCCGCCAAAAGGTTTCATTAAACTTAATGTTGATGGGGCAATGGTTAAGGGATGGGACAAAGGAGGAATTGGCGGTCTGATTAGGGATGATAGAGGTTTGAAACTAGGAACTTTTTCTGAAAAAATTGGAGGAGATCCTCCTATTCTTGCAGAGTTGTTGGCGATCAAAAGAGGTTTAAGTCTCATTGAAGAGTTGGGATCTTTTCCAACTCAAAGGATTATCTTGGAATCAGACTCGACCACGGCTCTCAAGTGGATCAAAAATCCAGATTTATATACCCCGTTATTTCAGTCCTTGGTAAGAGGCGTAGCAACTTATGTGGAAGGAAAGGGTATCATCTCAAGACATATTGTTAGAGCTGCTAACTGGGAAGCGGATGAGTTAGCAAAAGCTGGTATAGGATGATCAATGGTTATGAGTTATAGTTATTAAACTGGGGTGTTCATTGTGTTTTTTTTTAAGGAGCTTGGTTTTTAGTGTTGCAGTTTGTGTTTATGTTGTTAAGTCTTATGTTATAAACAGACCATGGTTATGGATTGGTTGTATGTTATGTTCAAGATTAATACAATTTAGAGACGTTCTTTTCATCTTTCCTTTGTCCTTCATGTTACTTATATAACATGTAGGATATGAAGAGGGTTTTTAATAAGACCTACATTCTATCAAAAAAAAAAAAAAAGAAATATGCATCAGAGGGGAAAATGAAGCAGAGGCAAAATTTCATCAAAGCGAAAGAGGAGCAAACCCTCCTTGGTCCTGCACCATCTCCCTCCCAAACAAGAAGTAAAATGAACAAAAACCTAACGTTCAAAGAAAGACACTACAGATGGTTATAGACGGTTCAGAGAGTACCGTATCAAGAGAATCGGCTCCAAGCTCAGCAAATTTTGATTCACCTGTGACTGGTTTGTCACTCGGTACAGCTAATTGTTTCCTTACAATTTCACATACCTTATCCACTGTCTCTGGTTTGGCCTGCTCAATTATATTCATCATGTTATACACACAAAAAACACAACTGACATTTCTACATAAATGACCAGACCATAACAGACATATTTACAATAACCCCTGCATATGCACCACAATGAATTTTTATAAATAAAAAAAAAGCGGAAATTAGTGAATATGCTAATGCTTATACTTGAGGCAAGTTACTTTCTAGCCATTACACGCCATAGAGTCGACGAAATACGAGCATAAACAGTACCATATTTCCAACAATCCCAAACGAGAAATATCGAGAAGAAAGTCGAGCACAGTCGGAAGAGAGTCCAGAGGATTCCCATTTTAGACACTCGTTTTTTGTCCGGGTCAAAAAATATTATTAGTTACTATTATTATTAATAATAATAATAATAATAATTATTATTAATTATTATTATTATTATTATTATTATTACTGATTATTATTTTTACATGTTGCAGGCTTTGGAGCCCAATTACAAGCAAAATATCTCCCCAAGACCAATTACAAATCAAATACAAGCCCAGCAGATTACAACCCCACCTGCAATCCGGTTCGAGCACAGGGTCGGATCCAGTAACCCGACCCAAACAGGACCATTTGATTCAGAAACCAGTTAGGGTTTCCAGACGCCGCCGCTTCTTGAGCCACACGATCTGGACCTATCCTACGGTCTAGATCAGTGGCCATTTAGGGTTTAACCCTAATTATCGAGCCAGCCACCAACAGCCGCCGAAAGTTCCAGCTTCCAGCCACGCTTGCACTGCGCCGAGTCACCGCCGAGCCGAACCATCGCCGATCAACATCATCATCACTCATGTCGGCCACCGAACAGCAAAACAAATAAAAGATATCAGCAAAGTCAAAAGCAAATCACCTAAATCCTACCTAAACTTTTCATTATCATACCAAACAAAAAGAAATTTTAGATACAGCCATGGAGATTTGGTGAAGATATCAAGGATAAATCAAGGATGAAACCGAGACCCAAAATAAGATAAGAGAGGGATTCGGGGGGCTCTCGAACAGAAGGAAAAGAGAAAAAGGGGAACCCATTCGAAAGGAAAAATACCGAGAAAAAAAAGAGGGAGATTCGGTGAGAACCACGAGAAAGAAAAGAGAAAACATTGAACAAAAATAAAAAAATAAGAGACGAGAGAGATAGCATACCTCGATGAACTACGATGAAGGCTTAGGTCACCGGAGATGAAGAAACCGAAAGGTTTCTTCTTAGATTTGCGGCGATTGGGCCACTTTTAGGTAAAAAGGACCCCAGATCCTTGTTCTAGACCACTACATGCTTCGGCTCATACCATCGATTCTACCTTCCAACGCCGGCGGACGGCGTTTGCCACCGTCAGAGGCGGCCGATGCGGCGTTGGTTCGCCGGTTTGTTAGAGCTCTGGAGCTCTCTGTTTCTCACACTCTCTTCATTAGTTTGAAAGGAAGAAAATGAATTATATGGCTATTTGAAATTAGTTTAAAACACGCATATATGCTAAAGCAAAACAACAGAGTTTTAGGGGTCTTCAGCGTGTTTTCAAGGAGTGGGTAAACTCTACTTTAGGTCTCTCTTCTCTTGTAATCTTTCAAACCTTTAATGAATTTTACCTTATTTTATTTTGAGCTTAGATGTTTACGATATTATATTTCAGTCCTGTTATTATTTATTTTGTTATTATTATCCATGTTCAACTTTGATAACAAGATTTGCAATAGTTTATTTTGGTCCCTAAGTTCAATTGTTGTGTATCTTTGTTGATTATTCAAATTTGGTCACAATGTTTTATTATTTAATTTTTAGTCACTAATTTAATATATTTTTGGTATTATTCGAATTTGGCTAGGCTGTTTGTAAATATTTTATTTTAATCACTGGTTGTCATTTTGGTTTAATTATTGTTTAGACCTAAATGTTTCTGGTTAATTCATTTTAGTCCATAAGTTTCTGTTTTTACTCTTTTATCCCTTTAATGTTCTGTTTGTGTCATTTTAGTCCTTAATATTGTTTAGGGATTATTTTCTGTATTATTTATTATTTTTTCGATTTTGGCAATCTGGTTTATTTTAATTACTGTTTAGCCCTTTTCTTTTCTGTTAATACCAGTGTAATCCTCTAAATATCTGTTATAACTATTTTGGACCTTTAAACTCTTGTTTGTAATATTTCGGTCCTTTAATTTTATGTTTCCCCGTTATGATCATTGTAATATTAAATACTTAATTTTTACCCATTTAGATCTTGGTTTGTAATATTTAATTTTTTTATTTCAGCCCCTTTATATATGTATATATTATTTTTATGTCTAACATTAAATGATAATATTAATTTTATATTGTAAATATTTTTATTTAGTATGTTTCCAATCATCATTGTTTACTAATGTAAAAAAAATAGAAATTTAATTGTGAGAAAAATTTATGAAGACGTCTCCCAAATACAAGGGAATATGTCTTTTCAAGGATTTGTCTCATAGTTTTGTATTCAATAATTTTATTTGTTCTAAGTTTGTTTATTTTGAGTATTTTCCACCGTTTTTTACTTTTATGTCTTCTATTTTATTTTATATTTGCAAAATTTGTGAAATAACATTTTTGTAGAATTTGGGAAAGTCTCCTAAATGCGTTCTCGAAGATTGTTTATTTTTAAAATAATTTTGAATAAATAAAAGGATCTTAATTTAAATATATTTCGAGTTTGTGTTTCCTAATATTTAAACAACGTATAATCGTTTAGGTATCAAAATTTGGGCGTTGTAGGGGTGTTAATTCTTCCTCACGCGTAACAGACTCCCGAACTTTTAAAAACGAATCTTTGGTAAACGCAGACCAGTTTTTATCTTAAAAATGATTTTTCTTAAAATTGTTTTTAAAAGACATTTTTAGGTATTTGACCTACCTAACTCAAAGGTTGATGGTGACTCTATTCAATTTAATTCAAAATTACCAATTTTTCCATATTAAAATCATAATTGTTTTAAAAACAAAAAATATTGTTCCACCTAAAAATGGTTATGACACACATCTTTGCACATTTTTATTTAATTTACTATTCCATATTGTTTGGTTGATAGACACAAAAAAGAAATGAAAACACTGATATATAGTAATGGATACATGAGTATGACAACCAATTTTGTAGAAACAAACATCATTTCAATCAATGAGAAACATACAGCACAGAAAATCCGCAAGCGAGAAGGCATTTGATGCAACCCAAAGGAGAGGCTGTTTCTTCCCTGGTTCTTAAATGGAACCAATTTCAACCCAGAAACCCTGCTAGTAGCCTGTTAAATGTGATCAACAGGATGAATATCAGTCAAAAATTCAAATGGGAAAAGGGATATTAAACATTATCTACTTGTTCTTCACCTCTAAAAAGTTGTTAAAAAGAAAAATCATAATTGATAAAAAATGAATAAAAGAACTTCAATGCACGCCAATTTCAACATAATTGTGGGATATAAAACTCGACTCGTGCATTTTGTTCTTCAAACAATAACGATTTTAGCATTTAGCTCTTGAAATCCGAAAATAAATTCCAAACCTCAGATTAACAAAACTAATATCAGCCATGAAAGAGTTGAACTAACGAAATCAAGTCTAAATCCTCATTCTGGACAGATAAAAGAGAGGAAATACCAGGGCATGGCGAGGTTGCATGGAGATTGAAGAACCAGCAACGGAAGCCATTAGAGAGTGACGTTGATGGAGGCAAACAAAAGGAGGTTGGAGGGTAAGTAAGATACGGCGGAGAGCACGAAGAGTGTGAAGAAGATTGGTAGTTGAAGTGTTAGTAGTAGAGTTTATCTTCTTTTATATATATGAAAATATAGATGGAGTTGCTTGGCTTCGATGGAGACGGCGAGTAGTGTGGTGGGGATGCCTGCTGACGGGGCTTGGTGGTTGCTAGTTGTCAGCGGACGGAATTCTGTGGTGCTCACGCCAAAGGAAGTGATCATATTGTTTATAAGAATTTAAGTCATGGCCGGGTTGGATTGGGTTTCCGGTCAATCTGACCTAAAATTTATATCTTTCATCTAATATGATTTGATTAAAAAATATACACTCACATTTGATCTGATTTTTTGAGATAAAATTTAAATTCGACTCTATCTCACATAAAATAATATATTTATTAAAAAATATTATTTTTATTCAATAAAAATATAGATATTTAATTTAAAAATAATATATATGGAGATATTACTGTAATTATCGCTAAATATATAAGGTAAAATTATATTTTTTAGATCATGTCGGGTCTAATATTTTTCACCAAAAACTCAAACACGATCCTACCCAAAAATAACCTCTAAAAAATCCGATCCAACCCAAATCTAATTTTTTTTTTATAAAAATTCAACTCGATCAAATCGAATAGAGTTTAAACCTATCGGGTTCAAGACCTGCGCCCATTCTTAGATAAGATCGGACTGGATTTGAAACACATAATCAATAAACGGGTTGGATTAGTTTAATCACTAATTTTAGCCCAAAAAGGTATCGGAAATTTTTAAATTCTTCATCTATTATCACGCTTTATACTTGTTTTTCCCATTTATTACATTGAATGGGCGTTTGGTTCATGAAAAATAACATTATCGAGGAAAATAGTTTTTTTCATAATTATACTCTCACGTTTAATTCAAAAAATATATATTATTAGGTAATAACTTTTTATCAATTGTAATATTTTTTTGTTAAAATGGTGAAAATGTTATTATCTTTAAATTCTTAGGTATTATACAATTCTCACCACTTTAGACAAGAATATTCTGAAATAATGAATTCTTTCTTACGGATCCTTTTCAATTTTTATTCTTCAAGCTTTACTCAAAATTATAAACATAATAATACAAAGAGTTTAGTTTAGTAAAATATTAATAAATTTGAGTAGTTAAATTTTATTTTATATTTTTAATATTTAATATATTAATTATTTATAATTTTATGAGTTGAAAAAATATTATAATAAAAAATATAACTATTTAAATAATATTTAATTTTGAGTTATTAAAAAATGGATCTTATTACTTATATATTTAAAAAATAATATCTTTATCCACTCAAGACCATACTATTTTTTTCATATTATATTATATTTTATATAAATAATATGATACTTATGAAAAATTTAAATATAAATTTGCTATACTAATTATATTAATTATATGTTGAATGTATTTTTTTCTCAAAAGTTAGATAGTGTGAAATATTTATAATTTAGTATTGAAGTTTAATTTGTTGAAAATAAAACATATATCACAAGGTAACGCAACATTCTTACATTCCAGTAATCTTATTCTCAAATGTAATATTACATTCTATTAATCTTATTCTCAAAATGTAATCTCACATTTCGTGAGCTAAACTTCCCATGAAAGTTTTTATTTTATTTTCGGTTATTTTTTGTTACGTCTAAGACTGTAAATGAGATGAGTTTAGTTCAAATATTGTTGAGTTTGATTCGAATCAAAATGTTTAAAATTGATTTTGATTCAACTCAAAAGCTAGTAAAGTTTTAAATTATCGAGTTTGACTCAAACTCGAAATCCAAAATTAAAACTCGACTCAAGCACAAAAAATTGAACTAGAAACATTTTCATACTTAACTCCATTGAATTTCGAACACAAACTTGAATCTAAACTAAGTAAATAAAAATTTTATATTTTGTTTTAAAAAATAACATATAAATGTAATTATTAATAATTTAATTTAAAAAATAAAATTTTAATATATTATTTTTAGTTGTTCGTGACTTTTTTTTAGTCGTGTATCAAGTAGCTTGCTTTGGCTTATTAAAAATTCAAGCTGATTTCGTGTAATACCCCAACATTTTGGTTAGAGACCAAAATGAATAAATTGAAAGTTTGATGGTTAAAGTATAAAATTTGGAAAGTTTAGGGACTAAAGAATAATTTTAAAAAGTTGTATAACCTGGTCCTGTAAATGAATATTTTCTCCCAAAAATGAAGTTTTCGTGGGTTTTAGATTTTTCTTATGGAGTTTATGTTAAAAGCTATAAAGTGTGAAAGTTTGAGAAAAATTTCGGATAACCGGATCGAATAAAAAATCAAGAAATTTTTCTAGATGATAAAACAAGGGGAAATGTATTTTCCATGATTTAAAATGATAAGATTTAATGTGGATCATTTGATTTAAGTTGATTTTCATTTTAAATCTTAGACATTAGATTAAAAAGGACAAGATTGTAATTTTGGAACTTTACAATGGTAAAGTTGTAAACTACTAACTTCATGGTTTAATTTCAGCCCTTGGATGATAAATTTATATGTGGCATGATTAGGATCATTAGATTTGAAGGTCATAATAGTCATTTTGGAATAAAATGAATTTTAAATTCATTTAGGTTATAAAATAAAAAAAACTATAAAAATTCAAGAAGGATCTTGAAAACCTTGTTGTTGCCGTGAGTTACAAACAAAAGCATCGATAAGTTTTAAAATTTATTTTTAAGCATTTTGAGTTGGATTTAAAGTTAAGACAGAAATCCAATTTTGTTCTCCATTGGATTCTCTTTCATTTGGTACTATTTGTTTATGTTGTTCATGCTTATAACCCTAAATTTATGAAAATGGTAGATGAAGGGGATGATAAAATTTGAGGTTTCAAGGCTTGAAAATGATGATATATGTATTGTGATGTTGATTTCACGTTTCAAGTAATGAAAAATCCATTAGTTTTCCTTTAGGGATCTATTTGGAAAAGATGAAAAGTTAAGGGGTTGATGTTTTGAATTGATTTTTATGTTAGATATGGTGAGAATATTATGTTTTATACCTTAGCGTGTTTATTCAAGTTTGAAAGAGGAAGAATGGTTAAATCCTAATAGTGATCAAAACAACACTTTAGGAAAAGTTGGGAAATTATATTCAAAGTTTGAATTTGATGAAGTCTATGGTATAAAATTACAATAAAACGTTTAAATTTGTTGTTTGGATCTTGAAAACACCTTGGAAGGTGATGGATTATATTAGGACATATGGGTTTCTTCAGGAAAAAATTATAGAAAAATTCAAGTGACTTATTTATGATATTTATTATCTTTTAAGGATTAGTTTGATGATTAAGTTATTGGATTTAGACTTGAAATGTGAAATTTTTGTGATTAGTACTTAAAGCCTAAAAGAGAAAATTAAGGGCTTAAAGTGAAATTGTGATTTTTAAAGGTGAATTCAAGTAAGTTAAGGTGGAAATGAAGTGTAGGGAACGTTGTAATTACAATGTTATATTAGAATGAATATTATGAATTTTTCCTACACTATATGTGCATGGGTTAGATGAATTCTAACATGTGCTTTTGATGTATTTGTGTTATATGTTTGATGTATTTATGGACATCAATCAAAATCGGGATCTAACTAGCAACAAAGGATAGGAAAAAGATCGAGCATAAAGCTTAGTGAGACTTATATTTTAACTTGTATAAAAAGTGTCAATGTGAGTGCAATGCATACATAACATGATACATGAATGTTTTATACATCATTAGGAAGACTTGCGATGAGTCTACCTTATTTATATTAGCATGATATGTATGCCATTAATCATTTATTTGACATATTTTAAATATGTCAAAAGTTAATATAAAATGCATTGATCACTAGTTTATTTATGATGTTATATAATGAATGTTATATCGGGTATGAACTGCCCAATGTTTAATTATGTTGATATATGATATATAATGACATGAATGAAATAAATATACACTATATGCCCAAATAGGTCGTTGAGGGACAGTGATATAGTTGGCATGTGTATAATAATAATAGTTGGTTTCTACTAGTTTAGATATAATTGATAATAAATTATAACCTAGTCATGTTAGTAATGATGGATAATGGTCAAAATAAACAATGGATAATTTATATTAGTGTTTGTAATTATTAAATGAATTACAAGTTTAATAATCAGGTAAACAATAGAATAACATGGAGCTACTGATTAAGGTTGAATATAGGAAAATTTTTAAGCAACTATTAGTTATGTAATGCTAAGTTGCTATTGAAATTGGATTTAGTTTGGTTAATTAAAAGCTAGAAATTGATGTTATTTGATAAATCAATACATGGTTTAAATTTAAATGTCATAAAATTAGTTTGTGACATTCTGACTCGTATTTATGAATTAAATACTGGTAAGGGTATTACAGTTCGAGCCAAATTCATTGAATCCAATGTTAAACAAGTTTTGACCGAATGAAACTCAAATACTTTATGATTTGTCTCATCTCATTTATCGTCTTAATTACGCCTATCAAGTTAGTTTTGTGTGTTTTCGATTAAAAAAATACTACGTAATCCCATTACAAGCAGTCACGTGTAATAAATATTTAAAAAAAATAGAATTTTCAAAATAACAAAATGAAATCATAAAAACTGAAAAACTTATAAATTATAATTATGTTTAATTTATCAAACTATTTGTCTAAATGTTATGCTTTTTAACGTAGATTTAACCCAAGGACAAACCGGAAATTTTTATTTGTCATGATTAAATTATAAGAATTTATAAGATAAAATAAAATAAGATTTAATGTAACAATCTCATATCGATGCGGGTGATACGATCCAATTTGAGGTGTCAAATTAGGGCCACCAAAGCGACTTACAATAAAAATCTGGGAAAAATTAAAATTTATGTTAAAACGCGTAAAATCATAAAACAATTTATAATTAAAATACAAGTTCAGAAAATCATTCATATATTACAAACATAATTAAAATTATACAAATTTCATACTCAGTA